TAACGTGCGTATTATCCGTAATTTAAGCTCATGTTTTTTAAAAATAAAAATAAAAAAAAATAGTTGTATTACCAAACATAAGATACTTAAATAGAAGCTAGTGATTGACTTTGTTGCATGATAAAACCTAACATTTTCATCCAAAAAGTAGCATTATTATAATAAAAGTTGTATTTGTAACAAAGGGTAAGAGTTGAATTTACGTCAAGTTATTAAGAAAAGTAAAAACAATAATAATAATAAGACTCTAAAGATATCTTCAGAAAAAAAAAATCCATTTATAAAATTAATTTATAATTTATGCTCATTTATAATGAGAATAAATAAATAATTTTTTTTGCAAATTTACATAAAATTCACAATTAAATGGGAGTGTAAGTTGTTTTCACAGCTATAAGATGGTTTAACTTTTTAATCATTCGTAATGGGAAACAAAGACATTTTTTTAATACAATTTTAGTTTGGTCCCAAAATTGTTTAAACCAAATCAAACTTCCAATTATATTTGCACTTTAAAAAAAATATAAAATATGTAGTAAAATATTATATTATTGTTATTGATGATCTTAATATATATATATATATATATAATATATATACTATTATTTTACTAAACTTTATATATAACTTTTTTTCTTCTTGTGAAAAATATGTTATAAGATTATTATGAATGCACTCTACTTTTCTAAAATATAAAATATAAAATTTCCAAAGACATAATATTCAGTTTGAAACCAAACAAACTAAATTATTTTGATTTAGTTTTGTTCTGTTTTTGCAGTAAAATGATTTGAGTTAAATTTAATTTTTTTTCAAAAACAAAGTATGATGATTTTCAGAATAAAATCTATCCAAGCCCAGTCCATTTATACCCCTACTCAGAAATGCCTAATTCATATATATTACAATATAAAAATAATAATAGTAATAACATTAATAATTAATTTAAAAGATTCTAATAATATCATAATAATAATATGAGATCTCTCAGTTTTCCATCTGAAAGGATATATTTACATGAGAGAATATGAAATTAAGAAAACAGAAAACTGAAAAGACTATCCCTGTGAGTTAGTACCAGGGACATCATCAAGAACGAAAGGACCAAGCTTACCCGTTCTAAACAATGTAAGGAACTTCTTTGATACCATTAATCGAGCTTCCGATGCCTTCTGAGGTATCTTTAGTGCCTTCTGCAAAACCTCAAATTGCAGCTCTATCAGGCATGCCAAGTCATTCTCATCTTCAACATTGCCACTGAATTCTGACAGGCTTATGTATAGCGCTCGTTGAACTTGTGAAACAAGATCCTGCAAGTGAAGAAACAAGCCAGTTAGGATATACCTTAGAAAAGATATGCAAGAACAGATCCCACAAGTCTCTACCAACAACTAATGCAAATCGGATTCGTCCAAGAGAATTGAGCTAGATAAACTTCTCTAGGAAGCCTTTTGGTACAAAATGCACAATGTTTACAATGATTAAAAATACACTAAAGACGCTAAGCAGAGAAATCTTTTGTCACTGGAGACATTCTCAAACTAAGCAGGCCCACGATTCAAGCTCTTAACCATATTAAGAACCTTGAAGTACACTGAAATAGTTTTTTTTTTCAGATAATACACCGAAATAGTTAATAACTCGGAGAGGGAAAACCAAATATGAGTGACACAAGATTAAGAATATCACGACTCCTTGTCTTTTCGTTTAGATGATAAAGCATCTGGACTACAATCACTAAGGGTTGCAAGTACCACCATATCATATCAGAGAGATTTTTTACCTCAATGTATAGCATGTCAGACAGATTAGGCGGATTTCTCTTTTTAGGTCGCAGATCCTTTAGATTATACTCATGTTTGTCCTCAGAATCACGACAAGCCTGTTCTACCCTGTCATTTAAGTGCTTCCAGTGAAGGGGAGTGCCTCGAATATTCAAAACTGCTAGTAAGTACTGAGCAATACGCTCCTCACCAACCACAGAATCTTTCACAGAGCCTACATATTCGTATGAATACATGAAATCTTTCAGAAAAAGAAGTATTGATGTTATAATTGAGACCTGATAAGATATCAGTTCTTAGTTTCCTTTTAACCAATTATTCAGCATTTATAAATCAAGCTCAGTTACATTATTGAAGTGATCAGCTATTTCTAACAATCTATTCCTAACCAACAGAAACGATGCTCATATGATCATTATAAAATGTTCAAGATTAGTAAGAAGATTAATGAACGAAAAGAAAAATCAATTTAAGAAAGGTTTGAACCTGCAAGAGCAAGCTTCAATCCAGTCTCCGCATCTGGGATACTTGGAACCAACACACCAGGACTGTCTAGAACATATATGCTAGGTTGATGGGCAATCTGAAAATTAAGATGGCATGAAGAACATTACAACAGGGTTTCTCATTTATTGTTATTCATGATATGAAGCATATTACATACTGAAGCCAAAAGTATGAACACAAAGATTAAAAATAGAACTAAGGAAATATATTGGAGAAAAAATGGTAATATTTTTTATAAATAAAAATTGAAACAAGGAAGACCCTGAATCATTAGGAATTTGTCTTTGGAGTGACAGGCTGGGAAGCAACGTTAAAAAAGTTCATCATTAGATAAACAAAATACACCCACATACCTGGCCCACAAAAATTGAATAGACATACAGTATAGACAAACATGTAAAAAGAGATGGGAAGAGGAAGACAAATCTTAACAGTTTAGAAGAAAAGTACTTAACCTTAAATCCAGAAATATCTTTTGTTACACCAGGCAATGGACCCACTGTAGCCTTTTTCATCTTCTCCTGCACTACGTGTAACAGCGAACTGTCAATGCTAGAAGTGCAGGACTTCAGATTAACCACATGATGAGTGGTAACACGATTAACCGATCAGGCAAAGAAAATAATTATTGAAGAATCTTTATCTTATACAACCAATACAACAGATTAACACATTACCAGGAAGGCGGGATAATGCTGTTTGATGTATTGAATTGATTAAAGCTGATTTCCCAACATTAGGGACGCCAACCACCATAACAAGAAGAGTAGGCTCTCTTGTTATCACTTCCTTAAGTTTGAACTCCACAAGGTCAAGAAGCTACAAGAAACACAAGAAATCAAGGTGAACGAATATCAACAGAGTCGAAGCACTAGATAAATTTAGTAGTATGTATGAAACAAATAGAGAATAAATTCAACTATACTCAAAAGAAACTAAAATTTTGATATCCCCCAATAGCATGCCCATATCTAACATATGCAAAGCCACAGAATCGAGAACATTATTCAGTTTCTTCTTGATGAAATGAGAGATAAAAATGTTCCAAAATTCTTTATTCTTCAAGAAAACATATGCATGACTTATCAAATACGAAAGAAAACACTGGAAAAACGGTAATTCATGGCTAATATTTATCTAGTCAAAGTAACTAAGAACTCCAAATTGAAGTAATATAATAATATTATTGAACCATCAGAACTATTTCGATATCTTGTCTTTTGTTCCTATCCATGGAATTTTTTTGAATCCATATGTTTTTTTGAAATATCAGACTATAAATGTTATTCACAAAGATACCAACAGGGTACCGCTCATGTACAAAGTATAAATTACAATTCTATTATGTAGTCCATGACCAACCTAAAATCATCCCAATCTTTAATGTCACGACCTAACAAAATAAAACCAAAAGTATAGATCCACCTATCTTTATTTTTTTTAATATTAGTCTCTATGCTCTCAAAAACTCTTGCGTTTCTTTCCTTCCACACAACTCAAAAAATAGTTAGTGAATAAAGAACAAATGTTTTTTCTTCTTATAATATAATGTATATGACGTTTTCCATTTCTTTTCTGTGAACCATTCTTTCATAACGTTTTTCTTTCTTGAAATTAAGGTAAATTCAGAACCTTGATCTTGTCTTATTGAATCATCAACTAAAACTGCTCACAAATGAAAAACTTAATAAGAATTGATTGATTGAAGTACTAAGGCTAATGAAGGCACTGTAGACTTGCAAAAATGAAACAACATTTACTAATACAAACAGAAGATGAAAAACACTAAGACTCCATTTGATACTTCCCATTCCACTCTTGACTAATTTCTAATTTTAATTTTCATATTCCCGTTCATATATTTAATTATCAAGACGAATATGTTTTAGTTTTGAACTCCTAACCTGCACTTTAAATTCCCTGGGTGAGATTTCAATTGCTAATTTGAGCTTAAGATGCCGGAATTCAGACTATAATTAAGAATTAATAATCTTTTTAGATAATTAATTGAAAACGAAACATAAGTTGAACCAAACAGGGGTCTCAAATTGCCAAGAAAAAGCAGCAGTACATGAACTTACCTTCCTTACAGAACTCCTGCTATGCGCGTTTATGGAAATGCAATCCTGTTTGCAAGAGTCATAATAACGAACCCATTTCTGCAGCAATGAAACGATCAAATAGAAACTCTGATACTGACTTCCATAGAGAAAAATAACACAACAAAACGAAGCAAATAATGTTGAAAGCAGCTTGATAAGGATAGCAAAAAGCCAAAAAGCAATGGCGTCCGTACATTGAGGATGTTAGGGTTAGCCAAATCTTTCTTGTTGAGAGCAATTACACGCCTTTTGGCAGAGAGCTGAGGCTGCAGGTCTTCATTTGCAGACGACAGAGGGATCTAAAACCAACAAATAGTCGCAAATAAGTATCTATACATAACATATACATATATATATATATGCAAATATACTTAGTCACAAGCAAGTATCTGGACACAAATACGTATATATATATATATATATGTATATATATAAATTTATAAAGGTAGGAAAGCATAGATGGTAGATACACGAGCGTCTCGGACTTCGATCACTAGGTCAGAGAGCTTGAGGCGCTCGCGAATGGCGCGGGTGGCGGAAGCCATGTGGCCGGGAAACCAGTTGATTGCTCCGCCTTCCTTCGTAAATCCCATTTCTCCGATTCCTTTCTTCACCAGCCTCTTCAGTCCCACTTCCATTATAATTCTTGAATTCCCTTCTCACTCCTCCGTTTCGGCGAAGTCTGCGTGAGCAGAAATGGCGAAGGGGAAAGAAGAAAGGGTTTAGGGGTTTTGTTTTGTTGGTAGTCCAGTTTAAACTCTATAATTACCTTTATAGTTCGTATATTATATGTTCTATATACTCTTTTATCATTTGCCTTAAAAAGAATGGCCCTCTAAATTTGTAATATCAATTTCAGTCGGTTCAATTAAAAAATAAATAAATAAAACTAGTTTAACCAACGAAAATTTTAATTTAATTTGTTAATATAGACAAATATAATAAAACTGGGAGTATCTCCGGGCGCCCAGGCCAGAGCCACCGCTATTAGTAGAAACAGTAAAATATACCATATGTTATAGTTATATATAAACATTCATTATTTTTTTCAAAATAAATTATTAGGTTTTTGTCTGATTGGATTTGCACAGTTTTCATTTTGTACGTTTATATATTTTTTATTTAAATTATATAATTCAGTAAATAATAAAAATATTTTTTAAAAATAATTTAGTAAATAATAAAAAAAAAATTTGAAAATAGTTACAAAAATTATTTTCGTTATTTTCTTTAAATCTATCTTGCTTGTGTTTTGTTTATGGATTGATTCATAATTAAATCAAACCGAACTATTTTGACGGAGGCTGAAATTGAGTGAGATGAATTTAATTTTCTTAATATAATTTATATACTTAGTATTTTAATTTTTAACGTTAAACTGTAAATTTAAAATTTTAATAAATAAATTATTAAAGTGAGCATTATTCGGTCTAACTCGCTTCCGATTAGATAATGTTTACCAAAAATTTTTTAGTGATTCCATAAATATATAACTTTTATATATAAAAATTATTATTTATTTTTAGTCAAACCCTATATCTTGATTATACTAATATATTATCTGTATGAAAATTGAATTTGAACCAACGTTAACAAAATAAATTACAAGGCTAAATTCAATAATATACGAATGGGATGAATAATTAATTGCACGCACGTCTTCAAATCTCTATGATGCAAAGTACTGATCATTTATTTCCTATTAATGTACTTTTTGTCACTGACCAAAATATGATTATCAAAATAAAAATCAGACATATTTATATTAATATATAGATACGTAGATGTATGCAAGCATGTTGGGATATTCTCATGATCCTACCCACCTATATGTTTTTGTATGTACATGAGTATTTTATATATCTTTTATGCTTCCGATCAATAATACAGAAGCACTCTATTAATTATACAAATAATATTATTTTATGCTAAAATAAATACTCTTATAATATGTTCTAAAGCAGATATTCATGAGTACAGGTTGGCCCTTCACTTTTCTTCATTTTATA